ACTACTCCTACTACTACTACTACTACCACCACTACTACTACCACTACTACACTACTATTACTACCACTACTCCTACTACTCCTACTACTACTCCTACTACTACTCCTACTACTCCTACTACTACTACTACTTCTTCTTCTGCTACTTCTGCAACTTCTGCTACTACTACTACTACTACTACTGCTGCTACTGCTACTACTACTACTACTACTACTACTACTACTATTACTGCTACTAGTACTACGATACTATTTCTACCACTGCTACTGCTACTGCAACTGCTACTACTACGTCGACGACTACTACCACGACGACGACTACTACACTACTACTACACCACTACTACTACTACTACTACTACTACTACTACTACTACTAGCAGCAAGGTACTAGTAGTAGCTGTAGCACTGACAAAAGTAGTCGTCGTCGTCGCAATAACAGGAGATGGAGTTTGAGCAGGAGCTGTAGCCCATGCGGCATGCAGCAAAAGTGGCAAAGTAAGCAACAGTGGCCATGCTCGGCACAGGTGGCGAAGCTCGAGGCGCGAATTCTTGTGGCAAAAACTCCAAGCCAAGCAGCCTTCCTGGACAGGTCCTTCGCACTCTTGGGCGCACTCCGCACCTGAAGAGTAAGTCTCTCGAGGCGTAGCCTGAGGCCCCCTCGTGATGTGTGAAAGAAACAGCTCGACAACAACCCTCTGTAACCGCGCGAATCACAAACCAAGAGCCACATGTCTTCATTGATGCGGGCTGGGCCGGTCAACTCCGACGCCGCAAGGCTTGTACGAGGCAGCGTCATAAGAGACAACATGCCTGCCCTTTTCGACCGGTGAGCCTCGACGCTTGCAGGCTCGGCTGGACCTCCCAGGGCCACGAGCCCACCCACACCAAGCTAAGCGAAGGATGTCATGGGGCGGGATGCATATCACGCTCCGCGCGAAGAGCTGTATCGACTGGCCAGGCGTGCAACGCCCGAGATCCAAATTCCTAACGGCTTAAGCCCTGAGCCCCACCAGGTTACGAGCACCTAGTGCACGACACACAAATTGTGAAGCTTGTGGCTTACAAAGCAGCCCACCTGTTGGAGCAGAAACAGGTGTGGAACGGTCGCCCCGCTTTCGCTTCTTCCACGGCGCCGCCTCAGAAAATCGAAGCTCTAACGACTGGCGGCTTTCAGGTTTCTTCAGGGCTTCAGAGTAATCCCTCCCCCCTAATACTAGACCCCCACCTAATATTAGAACTGCCGGCCATTAGGGGGGGGGGGCCTAGGGATTGTATGAGTTTAAATAGAGCCTTCTCCTAAGAAGTAACGAACGTGTA